GCACTAGTAGTGAGGACTGTTCGACTTCAGGGTGTAGCACTTACGTTTTTTGCGGGGCTGACAGAGTACCAAACGAACGGTGTATACGGATCATTTGTGAGGTGGGCGACGGCGGGCTTCTTTAAGCTTCGTGCTAGCCTATCGGAAACACGGCTGGCTGTGGTCACATTTATTTCAGCTTAGCTTGACCAGATACAATTTAATTGTTGCACATGGTTCTCTTCCCACCTCAGGACACACCCTAGGGTGGTGAACGTCGCCGCTGCCTTAAAACCTTAGACAGACCGCGCTGCCCGATCAAAAGGCACCTCGCTATCAAATGATGTGTTGTTGTGGCAAGAAGGCCGTAGCACTATTCAGGCAACCTTAAAGGCACCCCTCGACAGCGAAAGAAAGGCGTTCATGCACGCACCCGATGTGCGTTTGGAGGTACAACACGATGTGTACAAAACGGAAACGGTCACTCAGCAAGATCAATGATTAATTGAAGATTGTGGCGCGCAGCACGCAGGACCCTCTTTCTCTGTTCAACCGGCCGTTGGTTCCCATGGAGGCACAGTCAAGGCCGAGTCGTGTCGGCCACAGGAGGACGTGAAAGCTGCTCAAACTCGGGGAGGAGTCATGGTTTGCGATTCCCTACCGCACCACACGTACTTGAGGCTCCACGAGAATTGCAATGTTATAGCTCGCGATCGGCATTTGAGACCGGGTCAGGGAAGGAGTGGGCTACGAAAATGAAAATGACAGCGACAGAAAGAGTGAAAATTAGGTCGATAGAGACCCAAGCTCTACCCGAGCTTGAGATTTGCCATATCTTTGCTTGCATACATGTGCATACGATCCCTCTAAACAGTACATGTGCGTATGCACACGATCCCACCAAACAGCATTTCTCTTGCCCAAGCAAAATGAAAGCACCTCTATCGCCGAAAAAAAGCTACAATTACATGTAGGAGCAGAAAAAAACATTAGACTTCCGAAACAACCATAAAAAATATAGCGCCAACCGCCTTTATTTGCCTGATGCACAGATTCACAAGGCCAATGAAATAGCCCTAGTGATAGTAATGCAGCTGACAACAGCACACGCGTTCAAAGGCAACCCGCGCAAGTTCTACCAAAACTTGACGCCAGGCGGGGCAGCAGGCGGGCCATTCGCGGTACTGCCAGCACCTCACTTGTTGTCAGGGTAAAAAAACTAAACGATATTGAGTTGCTCCCCAAATGCTGCGGATCACTATTTACGTCTCTGTCGAACATGAAAAATATTTAACACACACACCAACGGGTCGCAGTCGAGGGCGCATCGGTGAAGTCCAGGGTTTGACTCTACCACACCTGACGTTCGTCCCAGCCATGCTGGCCACCTCCCGTGGTAAGTGCTCTTCGGGCCTTCCTAGGATCCCCTCCTAGGACTACGCGTTTGTTTGTGGCCACCGTCTAGAGTTACTTCTACTGCGACACGTCGACATCAACAATGGGGACGGATGGCGTAATCGGCGCCAACCGCCTCAAGGACTCATCTTCAAAGAAAAACCAAACTCCCTGCCCCTTGAATCTCAAATCGTGCGCATCAATATGATGATGGTGAGTATTCGTCCAGCCTCAGAAACCTCTTTTCACCGTGTGGCCGATACACCCACGCGGCATGAGTACGACGGTAACGGACGCCCGACACCAGCGCGCTCCCTCCTTGGCTTGCAGCGGACGACCCGAGCTTCTGACGTTGACCGGTGATTAGCCTGAGCGACTCTTTACCACAGATGGTACGGCCTAGAAGGGGGCGGCGGTCCGCCGTATTGGTGTTGCTGAGGCCCGGGGCTGTCACCGCGATCGTGGCTTCGGCTACTCCCGGATTGCAAGGACTGACTTCCGCTCCGCTGATGTCTGTGATTCTCTGGAATGAACACTGGAACGAGAGGCGAGGGAGCTGAAACATGGAACTGAGGAGCCGGGGTAGCAGAAGGGGGTGGGTTTTGTCGCCTCGACGCAAGCATTGCTCTTGCTTTGTTGATCGCGCCCGTTTCGTTGATCATTGCTGCCTGGTTGATCGTCGCCATGGCGTCGTTCAACTGCTGCGGGGAAAACCGAGGAGGGCCCGCCGAACCGATCATTGCCCGAGGGCCAGTCGGGGCGGTGATGGGGGTGGCGGTGGCTGTGGCCTGCAAGGAAGGAAAAGGCTGAGACCCGAGCTGAGACACCGGCACAGCTAAAGGCGCCGCATCAGGACTATTGATAGAAGCGGCAGCAGCCCCGGCCGCGTCCGGAGCAGCAGCAGCAGCAGCAGCAGCAGCGCCCGAGGGAGCGTACAGCGGCTGAGTGAAGGGTATAGGACCAAGGAAGCCGTGCTGTCGTACGTCGGTAACCGGTGGTGGCGGCGCCAGACCGGTCGTAGGCGGAGGCCCGGACGGCTGCAGAGGCAACCGTGGTCCAGAGAACTGTGCAGAATCCCCGTGTCGCGAAGGGGCGTCCCTCCGGCCAGGCACTGGCGTCCTACCAAGGCTGCGGGGTGGTGTGCCATCATCGTCGAGGTCCATATCGTCATCCGTCCACGAACGTCGATTCTTAGTGTTTACATCTCTTCGGTCGGTAGGAATGCCGGTTCCAGCGGACGGCAACGGCGGCAGTTGTTGAAATCTCGGTGGGTCGCTAGGCCGGGCACGCGCTTGAGCTGAAGTACTATTGGCAGACGCTGGTGGATCTTCCGGTGGTGGGCCTTGAGGTGGTGGCGGTTGGCCAGCTGGAGGTGTCCATACTACATTCGCCTGGAAAGGCGAGGGTGCCCTTCCACCGGCAATAGGGGCTGCTCGTAGTTCTTCTGCGTGGGATCTGACCAAATTCAAAGGCAAGCGTGGCAGCACTTGGTGGGTGGGCTACGTATGACCGCTATTCGGGTGGTCGTGACCGTGCTAGTGGAAAAGTAATCAATAATCGTGGCGACATCTAGCCGAAAAACATTACCCCCTTCTGTCGTCTGGTAATAGTTCTCGTGTGGTTGGGCGGAGCCATTAGCGGCGTCAACGATGCACAATCTCTACAGAAGCATTCCCGCCCACAACGCCACCTCACCGCAACGGAAGGATCGTCGGCGACGCCACCATCATGGGTGCCGAGACCGCCCGGCGGACGCCAGGATCTCGATTTTTGTCCACCCGACGGGGTGGGATAATTTTTCTTGTGTGGAAAGCTGGTGGACAACCGCTGCCTCCACTCGTGGTCCCTTCCATGCAGTCGTCGATGCTGGACCTTCGGCGGCGTTTTCGAGAAGTCGGAGATCTCGTGCTTTCGCCCGACACGCCCCTGTGTTTTGCGAACTTGATGCGGCCGCCGCCGGCGCGGGAGGAAGATCGTTCGCGCGAGGCCGAACGCCGTTTCGCTCTTGCCGTTTTCTCGCGGCGATTGCTTCTGTCCCTGTCGACGCTCGATGACACGCTTCTTCGCCGCTTGTCACCAATGCCGTCGGTCCTGACGCGCTCTTGCCTTGACCGCTCCCGGTGATCGCGATCGCCTTTCCCTTGTTTGCGGTTCCCGCTCTTCCTCGCGAGTGTGTCTTTGTCGTGGCGTTTCCCGTCTCGCTGCAAGGGACGCCCACCGCCGCCGCCGCCGTCGTTTCGGCGACCGCCGCCGTCTCCATCGCCACCCCGCTTTTTCCCGTCCTCCCGATTCTTGAAACTACGACTGGAGCTAGCACTGGTGCCTCCCGGACGACTGACTGGGTCATCACCGGGAGGGTGCTTCGCCAAACTGGTATGACCTTGTTGTCGGTTCGGGCTGCCGACTGCTCGCGACGGCGGGGGGGGGCGATACTTTGTACCAACACCTAAGAACGGCGGGGCACCGGGAGGCTTGCCGACGCCCGATATGCCTCTTCCCCGGGGGGCGGCACGCACGTCTGGTACCCTCGCCTCCACTCTTGCCCGACCCCCATGATGGTCACCACCCCATGAAGATTTACACTCGCCGATCGGTCTTGCATCAACTCTGGGGAAGATAGGCGATATCTTGGGCTGGGCACGTGCTGGCAGCGGTGGTGTTGGCGGGCGAATGCGCAAAGCAGAATCGCCCGAGTCCAAGGAAATGCCAAAGCGGCCCCGCCCACCGTCGTCGCCATCGTCGTCATCGTCACTGTTGTCGTCGCCATCGGCGTGGTCGTCGTTGCCACTGCTGTCACCGTTCGCACACTTGGCTAACAGAGCTTTCATGATCTTGACCTTTCTCTCCCGCAAGCGGTTGCTCTGCTCGCTAGTGCGTTGCAACTTCTCCCAGATTCTATTCCTACTCGGAGTGCCGAGATACGCCCCTCCTGTGCCGAGTTTCTGCCGGCACTCCTCCTCGACGGCGTCCCGATAGCTAGCGCACTCCACAAGCCCGCGCATCGCATCAGGCCGGTCCTCGGCGATAGGCTTCGGCGGTTGCGTCGGGCCCGTGGAAGAAGAACCACCTCCTGTCTCCAAACCATGGGGATCGCTAGTGATACTTGACGAGGTGATAGCTGCGCAAGCACTTTTGCTGGTGCCACCAGCATCCATGCCGGGTGAAGACGGAGCCGCGTCAAGGTTGCTGCCAGGAGTGGAGCTGAAAAACATGCCGAGCAATTGGACATGGACGGGGAACGCGTGGTCAGAGTGGTGTCCAAGGTTGATACTTGTCGTTTCGCGTCGCGCTGTGTAGTGCTACATGATACAAAAAAGTGATCCGCTGGGATATATTGAACATGCGCAGCCATTGCACATGAGTGAAGACCAGGCGCTCGCGATCATGCATTTGGCCTAGAAGAACTCGGCGGGCCAACTTCCATGTAAGTTCTGATGCGCCAAGCTGCTGTGTCCGGTGCAATGGAAATAACAGGGAGGGTACTCACACGGGTTTCCTAGGAATTGTCTTCTTAGGAATGGCGGACATCCCGCTACCGCCGCCGCCGCCAGCAACAGTGGCGTTTTTCTTAGGGATAAAGTACGATGCCCCGGACCCGCTGCCGGCACTGGTCGGGATCTTGTCTTTCAGCTTGGCATTGCCGGCTTTTGCCTTTCCCAGTATCGCCTTTGCTCGAGCGCGTTCAATGGCTGGCTTCGAGGCGCCTTGTTGCCTTGATGAAAGTGGTCTGCGGGGAAGTGAAATCGTTGCACCGTCACCACAGTCACTCTCACCACTGGAGTCATCGACATGGTCGTCGCGGCCGCCATTGTCGCCACAACTGAAGTCGTCGTCGTCTTCGGCGGCAGCAGTGCGAGTACTGGTTCGATCATCCTTCCCAATAGGTTGACAATCGTTCTGGTCCTTCGCTGTTGGTTGCCGAGGCGGTTCGTCCACCACGCTAGTGCTGGCGGCATCGGCCGCGCGGAGTACGGTGCCTTCCTCACCGCCGCTGAGAGGCTTCGCTGTTCGATCGCCGTCAGTCTCATCTACCTCTTCAGCTGGATGTTCAACCCTTCCCTTCACATTGGATGGTTCGGCCGTCACGATGGGAGTGGTTGTCACGCTCTTGTCAGCCACGTGCGTATCCACATCCTTCGCAGAGGCTCCGGCTTTGTGTTCGCTCTCTCCGCCCCCTTGCGGCGACTTGGGCTTGCCTTTGCCTTTCGGCACAGCACCGCTCTTGTCTTTGCCGACCTCAGGGCGTTCCGCGGCAACAGTGTCTTCTCCAGAAGCCTTCGCTATGTCAACGTCGACACGCAGCCCGATCAACGTGTCGTAGAGCGCCGCGTCCAACGTCAGGCCACACTGCGCACTCAAGAAGTTTAGCCTGGCGACCAGCTCGTCAGTTGTGTAGGGCTCTTCCCCCGTGCTTCGTGCACGGAAACCCGATGGAGAGTGCACACCGGCAGCACCATCTTCCTGTGTCGCGCCTGCCCCCGCGTCTGAAGTGCTGTCGCTCTGTGATTTCGCCACTTTTTCGTTGTCCGCCCCCGGCGTTCCTTTGCCCTTCCCGGTACCGACAAGCTGGCTGTCCGCATCATTGCTCGAGCCCTCTGTTCCCGCCACTCCCGTTCCGGCTCCGAAATCTTGGGGCAGTACTATCGGCTGTGTGCCTTCCTTCATCCTCTCCTTGCCCTCACCGGACGTGGAGTGGTTCCCGGGGCCGTCGTGAGGCTCTGCATCGTCACCGTTTGTCATGCAGTCGCGAGCATCTGCGGATGCTCGATCCGATTGCAACCGGGAGATCGGTCGTGATGACGTTTTTGGCCATATCGGGTCGGCTACCGGCGTCGTCGTGGCCTTCCTGCTTCCCGTTGAAATTCCGGCAGCGTCTGCCGACCCTTCCGTCGGCTGTGCACGTGTGCTTTTTGAGGCAGAAGCTTGAGATGCTACCGCCGCAGGAGCGCAGGTTGCGGGGATCGCTGTAGGAGTCGAGGATGGAGGTTCTCCACTGCTGTTTGATACCACACGAGGGAAGGGCGGGGTCGGGGTGTTGGGGCCGAGGATGATCTGCACTCAACAAAGAGCACCAAACGTCCGACAATCGGAACGGGATACAACTCCAACCGAGTAATATTTGTGAACAAAGTGCCTCAAGTGATCCTCCATGCGATGGGCCGCACCAGCTCCAGTAGCCAATGAGTCACGACGCCGAGCACGGACATCACAGACGATCAACCGATGTTGATTAAAATATGCTCGATGGGCGCACCCATCGCAGTACTATTTCACAGTTAACTACTCGACCGATCCACGTCCGGCGGCCTTCGATCAATCACCTGTTGAGGGTACTCCTGATCCACTGTTCTATGCCGGAGCAGGCAGTGCGCAGCTTCAAGCACAGCGGGTCTGCATCCTCAGCCTTGTCGTTGAACATTACTCGGAACCTGTCGTACGAGCTCCAGGTGTCAGCGTGCGACGTCCACTGGCTCGGATGCTTCAAAAACCTTTCTATACGTCTCTGAAGGAAGAGAAGAAACGGATGGCGATAGGCGAGGGAGCGCGCGGGGTTCAGGAGAACCATCCATATTGTAGTAGTAACAATCGCCCACTCTAAACTGATACCTGCAGCGCGAACACCAGACCCGACAACGACGGAGACAACAGCGAGGAGAGTGAAACAAACAACTTCGAAAAAAACACCAGGGCGCATTTCGGACAACATGGGAAATGGTTCATGGCTTCATGAAACCGACACACTCCGCCGTAGCAGGACGAAATCAGGTGAACCACAACAAGGCATGCTCGCCTGTCTCTCAGTGCCGCGCTTCTTTTTGCTCAGTCCCAACCCATCGAGAGGTTCACCATTGATGACGTTGACCATGTCGACCCCTTGCTTCCAGCCGTGAACGATGCAGAGACGCACCGCGTGGTCAATGGCCAGCTGAAGCACCTGCAATGTTTCGCAACAAGATAACGTGAGGTGCCGTAAGAGAGGGGCGGTAGGCTTGACTTGAGCAAAGCCCCCGCGTCAAGAATGAGGTTCGTGGTGTGATCGTATCAGCGAACATGAAATTCACAGGATGTGGACAAGACTCCCGCTATCGGGACAGAAACAACACAACCTTCACCGTTGCACGCGCTATTCACCTGCGTACAGCTTCAATGGCGGAGTAAGCAGAATGCGGTAGATTATTGTACAGCAAACTACGCGCGATGCCCTTCACAGGACGCCCGTGGGGTTCTCACGCCCATGGGCACAGGTGTGGTCTACACTCGATCGTTCGGTGAAGTTATCCTTCCCAGATGGAGTAGGGCGCCGGGAGCGAATGACACCCCAGTACCTGACGAACATCCCTGACTTGTCGGTATATATAGAGCCCTTCCCCCTCCTGGCTTTTCCAGGAAGCAAAAATGCTCAACTACACTCGAGCGTCCAGCCAAGCTCCAAGAAGTGCTTGCCCTCGACTCCTAACCGAAGAAAGAAGACACTTTCAGTCTTGCACGCCAACGCCGAAAAGAACGCCCCAAGAACCTTCACCTCAACACCCCCCACAAACAGAACACGCTTCGTTCGAGTAAAGGTTGAGTGGGGACTGCGAACACGACCCACTAACTGGGCGCAACCAGGCGCCAACAGTCCTGCGTATCTCCTATACCACACCTTTTTGTCCGCGTTGACGGGGAGAAAAAATTCGTCATGGATGTGCGCATCCTTCTCCTCTTTCGTGGCTTGCTCTGTCAGCGGCGGTGATATCTTTTCCATCAACTGGCACAACGGCAGCCCCCCCGGAAACTTTGCCAACGACGACACGTCCACCTCGCCAGAGGTTTCATCGGTGGAGCTCCCACGCACAGGACCCAAGTATCGAACGAGGCATCGCTTCTGTGGCAAGGTTTTCTGGATCAGCGAAGGCCAAGGTTCTGCGGCCGGCAAGGCGAGGAGAAGCGAGGGCGAGCCGCGCAAACATTAACAGCGGAAGGTGTGGCGAGCATTGGCACTTGTACGTCACGATCTCCTTGGAGCGGCAGCCGGTATCGACCGTGGAGGTTTGCTTGCCTGGGACATGTGGTTGCGGGGAGATTGCTCCAAACAGTGCACGAGTGTCTGAGGAACGCTACCCAAACCGCATGGACAACCCGAGGATTCCTTTAGAGACAACGCAAAACAGGGTAGAATTTAGGCGATATCGCCCAGACGAAAAAGGATCGGCATCCCAAGGAGAAAATAACCCTATGGTAGGGTTATGGCCAACAGCATGCATCGTGCGTCTTCGCCATGTCATACACAACAGACGAAAACAGATGGAAGTTACAAAGGAAAGAGAGCAGCATCAGACGTGACAACAAAGGTGAACCCTTCGATCAAACAATTTTGCACTCTGCATATGGGACGCGGACCGAACCAATTTCTCTGCACCGGTAGGCTCTGACGCAAAGCTTAACCTTACCCCCAAGAATAAGGACTATCCGGCAAGAGCATGGTCGCACGACCGTACCAGCAAGACAATCGGCCTCGGGAAGACGGGGAACAACCCTTATACCCAGGCATGGCCCAAGGCAAGTACAAACGGGACAAACACAGTAGCATCAACTCACCGCCCGCACGATCGGCCCACACTACAAGCCCAAGACAGGCCTCTGTCACCGCCCGCTCTGCCACCTCAGCGGCGGCGACTTCGGCGGCCGCCTTGCGCTTGGCCTTCACCTCGGGATCGTTGCGCCTTCGAAGCGCTTCCGCCCGGGCCTCTTTCGCCCGAGCTTCGTCCGCCAGCGCCTCCGCCGTGTGTTTGCGCTGCTCTCTCATTTGATTGCGTTGCTGCAGTGCGGTCGACACAGAGGACTGAGGCACGGGGCTACTTCCGCTACTGCCACCGGTGGAGGCAGCCACCGCGGCTGGTGCTGGGGCTGGTGCCTGGGCTGGTGCCGGGGCTGGTGCCGGGGCTGGTGCCGGGACTGGTGCCGGTGTCGCGCGGCGCTTGCTGTTCCTGTCAGAAGGTGCTGGTGCTGGTGCTGGTGCTGGTGCCGGTGCTGGTGCTGGTGCTGGTGCTGGTGCTGGTGCTGGTGCTGCGCGGCGCGTGCCGTTCTTGTCAGAAGACGGGCCGCCAGGAGCGGGTTTGGAGCCGCGACCATCCCCGACATCCACGGGACCTGGACCAACTACGTCGTCGACAGCGTTCGTCGACCGAGGAGCTTCTGCTTGCGCTTGTGTCATGGACTCCCCTGATGCCGCCGGTTCCACTATTGCTTGCGCTCCTTCGGCCCGCTGAGCCACCGATTCTGTCGCCGCCACCGGCGCCAGCGCTGGTGCCACTACCCTCGGACGTGCCGGATCGCCGGCGACCGCAGCAAGGGGTTCGGCCGCCATCGCCGCATTCCGTGGTGCCCCCGCCGCCTTCCCGTTTTGCGCTTCAGCCGTTGTCGCTGGCGCCACTGCTGACTGCGCTGCCGCCGATGCTGCCGCCGACGTTTTCGCTGCCGCCGACGCTGCCGCCGTCGTTTTCGCTGCCGCGGCCATTTCGGCCTCGTCCATCGGAACAGACACGTGACAGACTGCATAGCTCACCGCGGCGGTGTCTCCTTCTTGGGCCAGGCTAAGGGCGTCCTCGGAGAGAACGCTTGCGTGTAGCTGAAATAAGTGGATGGGGTGAGGTAAGCAGCGGGGGATACGCGGTCACCACGAAGATGGGTCCACTGCCTTTGGTACGTTGCACCAATCGGTGTTGCCTTTGTCAAGAATATAGCATCTTACCCGGAATCTCGGAAACAACTCGGAGCCGCCGCGGGGAATTAGTATAGAGGATATATAATTAGCTTCATGCCAGAGCGACGTACGTAGGGTTCGCGAAGTAGAAAAGCAGGCTGTGTGGTGGAGAGGGAGGCTGGGGTGCTGCATTAAAGCAGTCTCCGGAGACTCACCAGAATCGTTGAGCGCAACAACGGTTTCTCTCATCCATGCTAAAAGCGAGGCTTACGGCAACATAGGAGATGTAACACTGAAGGCAGCGGCACCAAATCAGCTCTTGCGACTGGTTGGCCCACGAATCACGTGGTTCGATAAACAAGCCGACTCGAGTAGTAAAGGGTTGCTAACAACTTGACGTGTGTCCGGTCCGGAATCAACACACATACGATGAATAAAAGGACGCTTGGTTCCTCCTCAGGGGGGGGCCTTCGTAGTGCACGACATGCCGAAATGGATCACACACTATACCAAGACAAGACCAGGGACGTTCTCGATGTACGTGTGTTGTATCATGCCGATGTTTTTGGTGCCTCTGCGCGTGTTTCTCTTGAGCAGCGACCAATTCATCACGCTTCCTGCTTGGGGGCACGTGCGAGGCTCGTAACATTACCGCACATAGTCGAAGCTCGGCGTGGCGCGTTTGCTCGACGACTAAATTTGACGCAACTGGCTCTATTTCTCGGCGAGGCACCCCGATTCGTGCGGCAAGACGCGAGCTTCCGCGCGTCGACATCCCAGCTCCATGTATAGCCGGCCAAGACCGGACTATGCCTACCTCAGCTAGCGTGAGCTCGTCGGCCTCGACGCCATTGACGAACATCAGTTGACGCACCATCTTGCGGCCAGCCGGCATCGGCATAGCCAACTTTTAAGCGAGACAACAACGAGGGGAGAACGAAGACAAGGGGGTGATTCATGTCCAGGGCAACACAATGAACTCAGATGTTTTGACAGAATGGCAGCGGTGGTGATGTGAAAACGGGGATCATCAAACAACAACGCAAACGTCCCCTGATCCGACCGTGGTGAACGGAGAATACATCGGAAACGAGACATGGGCCATAAGGAAAGAACCAATACGCGCAGCGGAGAAAAACGCACTAGCCAAACGAACAGCAAGCAGTGAAACCGAAACCGACGACTGTTGGTATCGATCCACAAACGCAGCCCCATGGGAATCAACAAAAAGAACTCCAATACCAGATCCGAGCGACTTACACGGACGCTTGTTTCGCATCTTCTCCGCAACTCGAAGACCAACAACGAAGAAACGAAAAGATGAAAGAATACAAATTGCCGTCAACAACAGAGGAGCACTACACACACCTGCCAGTTCTCATCGCAAGCTGGCTCGAACGGCACAAACCGCGCGTTGTCCGCATCGACGCCGGCCACTCGTTCCCCGCCTGTCGCCCCTCCCCCCGCTGCCCCGCTACCCGTGGCCGTGGCAGCACGTCCTAGGTGCCCCGCGGAGGAGGGAGCGGCGCCGGTGGGAGCTCCCGCCGCATCGGTTTCGCACCCCCAGAGACGTATCTCCGCCGCCGCCTGGGTCTCCGCTTGGCGGCTACCCGCTTGTCGAAGGTTCGCCATTTCTCGCTCGTCCCACTCGTCTTGGAGCCGGATGTCGTCACTGACGGCTTCACGGCCGCCCACGGCGGCCTTGAAGGAATCGATGTTGTCGTTGAAGTATAGGATAGGCCTAATCAAGCATTTGGACGCGGAAAGGGGGGTTACGAGATGATGGTGTTGCCGTTTCGAGAGCGCTCGGTGTGCTAGATACCACACACGGCCGTGGGAATGATGCAGGATCGCACGGAGGTCCTGAAGGTGTGCATCATTTGGGTTACGAGTAGGCCTGCGTGCCATTATAGTGAGGGTCGGCAGTTGACTACAATAGGTGAAGGCGTCATTGTGTTTCAAGTAGCTTCACAAAGACAGGTCTTGAGAAGTTGTCGTGCCAAGGTACAGTACACGCCCAGAGCTGTTACCTCGACCTTCATGACTGCGAAACAAATAAGAACGGATCGACAGCGTTCTACACACCAAAAACGACGACGACACCCACCGGCCATCATCGTCCCTGTACTCCACCAGGCTGTCCAGCAACTCGTCGAGGCACCGGGGATTGCAAAGCCCGCTAACCCTGGCCCCCTTCTCGCCACTGCCGGCACCACCGCCATCGACCTCTCCTCCATCGGCCTCCGCTTCACCGCCAAACCTCGGCGGCCCTGCCACTGCTCCTGCTGCCTCCGCCGACGGAAGTACCTCGGCAACGTTGCGGTCTCCTCTAATCGGCGGGCCGGGTACACCAGCAGTGGCCATGATTCCGCTTGCAGCGGGGACGGAAGGGACGGCGGCACCATCAACGGCAGCGGTAGCACGAGTCCGAGCTGGGGCCTGGGGCGGCGAAGCCGACCTCCTCCCCATAGGTAAAGCCTTGGCGACAACACCCGCGCCTCCACTAGTCGCGGCAGATACAGAGGCAGCTGCTGTTGCGACGGGCGCGGGCGCCGGAGTTTCCGGCGCGGATGACGGCAAGGATGCGGAAGGGGTTGGTGGCGACGCGGAACGTGGCACCGTCGCACCACCCCGGCTACCTGGTGAGACACTTGGGGGAGACGGCTTCGATCTGGATACCGGAGAGATTAGCCCGAACAGAGGGGGTCCGCAAACGAGGAAACAGGGGCAGGGTTTAGACTTTCATCGCAAAGCAGTGATTGGATGCAAACCAGGGCGACAAATACTGAATAGCGTGCGGCTGATACAATCCTCCTCCTGACCAGTCATACGTGCAACAAATTATCGGTTATTTGCCATCTTTGGCCCTGCATATTATGCTCTGCACAGCATTCCAGGGCACCTCGTCTCGAGGTACGAGGGGTTTCATAAGGGTGCGATGGCACCGTTGATCCTTTCGCCCTTGCCGCTCCTACACGGCTACTGTACCGGCCAACTCACCGTCACCGTGTGAGCTCTCTTCTCGGCCCCAACCTTGATGCTTCTAGTCAGGTTCACCCCAAAATGCATCGTCTCCTACCTACACATCTCGAGACCATCCCCACGCGGCCATGTCCTACTCTTTGACCGGAGCTGCCGATAAATACGGGGGCGCTCGACAGGTGCTGAATCTGCGCACGTACCGTTTGGAGAGCGTTCCTGCCCGGCCCCACGGCCCACCAGCCACCTCCCGCATCAATCTCGCCACGCTCTCCTAGAAACCAAGCAACAAAGAGTAACGGCACGCTGCTGTCATGATTGCCATCAACATCAGCACTAGCGATGGTGCCCAAAACGTCGGTGTTATCACAACCACAAAAGAATAACGTGAACCAGCATCAGCCGCAGTGCCGCTGAGGGACTACCTTCCCTCGCCCTCCGACAGCAACAGCACCTACGCGTCTCCGCAGCTGCATGAATACATCACGCATCCCTACCCACGACTCTGCAAATAACAGGCAAAAAGCTTCCGAAAACGTTGCCCCTTGAGCCAAGAACGAGGCGATTTCCGAGCCTCCCAAGCCATAACATACGGTTATACCGTTCAACAAAGCGGTATAGAGTGGTTATTCGACTCGAATAAAACCCGCATCGCGGGACAAGACGAGCCGGGTTTTCCCAGTTGTGGAAGGAAAGATGCAGGGTGAAGGGATTGAGGCTGCAAGCGGCGTGAGGGAGCTGGACACTGCATGTCACAGCACAAAAAAAAACAAATACGATAGCAACTCCTGTATGCGAACGGTTCCTATATTCTCAAAACAAGGTGGTACAGAAGACACTTTCTGGCAGCGTGAGGAGTGGGACGCCTGGCCATGAATGGTACTTCAGTATATTATATGAACAAGGGGACAACCTACCGTAATCTTTCTCGCGACAGGCGTGAGCGGGCCCTTTTGTCCTCGCAGCCCTGGAGTCATCCTGTCTCAACAAAGGGCGAAGCACCGGCGGCGGACCAGAGCGATGCAGCAGCGAAGGCAACAAAGAAAAGGGTTGAAAACGGCGGCGCAATGGCGAAATACACACAAACACTAGGGATGAGTCGGAGGAGGAGGGGTTAGGGGTGACGTATTGACGAGAACCACAGCTACAGTACCACATCATCTTGGTGTACCGATAACCACGGAGAGGGAGAGAACCGAGATTCTGGACGGAGAATAATCACTCCGGGAGGGATATCAGCCGGAATAAGGCCAGCGCCTAAAAGGACCAAACAACCAAGAAACCATGCGTATCTGTGGTACACCCATGTGACCACAAAATTCGTCTAGGCCTAGTGCTACTGGCTGCATTTTCTTCTTGAGTATGCCGCATGTACATACATCGGAACATGCCCTTTTCCTCACCTCTGGTCCAGCTTCGCGGAAAGTTCAGCGGCGTCTCCCTTGAGGCTGTCGGCCAACGCCTGGTTCCTGCTCTCAAGGTTCTGAAACGGGAGGCGGAGAGAAGATGGGGCACAATCGACTCACGAAAACGGCACGAAGAAACGAGGCTATCGTGCCTTGATGGGTGCGACACTTCACGCTTCGGGAAAGGAGAAAGCAATTGCCGAACCGGGAAAACAATCGTGAAAACAAAACAACTTGCCTGTTTGCTGAGGGGGGATTCGTCCAGAAACCGAGGCAGCACGTTGTTGACCACCTGCGCGAGAGAGATACCCGCATGCCAGGCGGTAAGGTAGGTTGCCGCGTTTCACTCCGAGATGCGGCAAAAAAAAAGAGAAATGCAGCGAAGAGCAAGCCTTCTGAGACATGAAACAATCACGCAGGAAGAGCAAGGCATGCACCCGAGACCTCACACATGGATCCCCACCCCAACCAAGCACCTCCTCAGTCATTGCAATATACTGATACACATTACTGGCGGAAAACGGAAACATTGAATCTTGCCGGCCAGTGGCAATATTATAGCAGTAAACGGCAGCGGCGATACTCTGCGGCACAATTAATCTCACGAGCGCGGCTTGGCTGGTGAAGGAAGGGACTAAAGCGATAGGGAAATCCAACCTCTGCATGACACACGGGGCGCTTGGCAGTGGTCCAATGCGGGTACCCAAAGCTGAGAAAGCAAAGATGAGCGGAGGGAAAGCTCTCACGTCAGGGTCTCTGCCGTCGAGGACAGCTGTGTGTTCTACACCAAACAAGGGCGTGCAACACGTGCCGACCTACACGGAGATAAACGCAGACTACGTACTGCTGTAGTGTGCCTCTCCGAAGCTATATGGCCGAAGATCAATACACGAAGAAAAAAATAAAAGTGGGCAGACAATCTGCAAATGATTCGCTGCTGGTGAAGAAGAGGCCACAGAGTAGCCCTCGACGTCATCTGCCCCGAAAAGGGGTATGATGGAAGATCTTAAAACCATGAGAGGCCCATCACAACCCAAAAACAACGAAAGGCCTAGTGGGCATTTAAGTGCAGTCAACCAGGGAGGCAGGAAACAAAACACGTTTTCCTGCGGCAGCCAGGGACGCTCACTTAAACACCAAAATCATGACAACCAGAACAAAAACAAGACTCGGCGAGCGTTGCCGTTCCGCTAGGCCAGGCAGGCAGGATGGCAGCGACTCAAGTCTCGTGCCGTCAAAACAGACATACTTCATAACAAACACTACCAATTCCCGAATTATGCTTCTATACGTATGTACGTCATGAAAAGAACCGAAAACTCACCAAGGATTGCTGTTGCTGAAGCAGGCGGAAAGCAACCCAAGCCTTCTGCGCCGCCAGGCTTTCGGCGTGCGCGACTGTGTTACTCGTCTCGCCCGTGGCACGGAGGATCCTAAGCTCCACGAACGGCTGTTTTATTTGTGTGTTCGTTTCAAATTTTATTTTGTGTCAAGAGAGCGCGTCAGGAAGCAGGGCACGGATGCCGAAGGAGCGGTGGGGGACTAAGGTTGAAAAGCTTGGGAGACAAAGGGGCCAGCAGGTACTATGCAGCAAAGAGCACAGCGCATAACAGCACCCCTTTTCTTCTCCCGCCGTCAAACCCAATCCGACCCTCACCAGTTCAACCCTCCTCGGCCCCGGTCTCGACGCTCCGCCCCGGTTCTCCTTGCCACCTCCGCGCCCCGGCGGTGCCACCGCGGGGCCCCCACCCCCCCCACCCCCGCCGCCGCCGCCACCGTCGTCTCCGGCGGCGGGACCTTCTCCGTTTGGCGGTGGGGGCGGCGAGACTGCTGCTGTGGTGGCGCTTTCCCACCAGCGGGAACGCTCCTCGCCGAACCGTTCGCCGTTGATGGCGAGGATGAGATCGCCGCCCTCGAGGCCGGCCTCCCCGAAAGGCCCTTGGGATGTGGCGGAGACCACGAACGGGGCGGGGACAAGACTGGTGTACCCCCTGGTGTAGGGAGGCCTGAGGGTGGTGTTTCGTTGCGCACGAGCGTTGTCGTGCATTCGATGCGCGAAGTTGAGGCAGTCAACACGCGAATTGATCCAAGGGCAGAAAGCGCAGAGGCGCGTTCTGATAACCCAAAGACAAAGCTTAAAACAGCCCCTTTACGACAACAAGACAAATGACAAAAAAATGTAGAGCCAACAAACTCGCTTCCTTAGTCGGGACGAGATCACCATTCAAACGAAGCTTGTCAATGCGCTTCAAGTGCTAGCAAGACGTAACTCCGACTGTACACAGGACGACCACGCAGAGCGGAAGACCAGCACGAAAACACCGCGCGGTACATGCATGTGACTGACGACACAAAAGGTGGCCAACTCATGGGAGCGGCCAACAAGGCGGTCGTAAACAGGAACAGGTCGTCCCATCGCCTCAATAACACTCTCTCCGCTTGCGTCACGTAAAATCGATACCCCGAACGACCACGAAGCTCGTGTATACTACTACGTGCCGCAAGGTCATACCGCAAAGCCTAGAACAAGCGGCTGGCTCACTTGCTCGACAGCACCCGGTACTTGAGGGGGTGCAGGTACAGGAGGCTGGCCAGAGAGAGAATGGCGTCGTCGCGACGCTCGAAGGAGACGGAAAGCCGGACGCTTGAGAACTCGACGCCGACCAGAGGCTCCGGCAATCCCTGGATCAAGCATGGCGGCGGCGGCAGCAGCAGTAGCAGCAGCAGCGGGGCCAGCAGCAGCAGAACCAGTAGCGCAGCATTACAAAGAGCGCGTTGGCATGCGAGGACCAAATACGAGGACATGGGATGGGTATGAGATTGGGATCGTGAGAACAACAGCCTGTCTCGTGAGTCCGGTTGTCCGTATTGCTGAGTGGCTGATAAGTAGGTGAGCCTTCTCCCAAGTCCTTCAAGCGCTCGGGGAAGTCACGGCAATCCATGCCTGAACGGGTACGGAACTCAAACGTGCCACAAGAAAAACGACGCACCAATATCCTCGCGAAGGATGCTGCCAGAAGCGCGCTCACCTCCGTTTTCCTCAGCAGAAGCACCACCGTGTCCTCCCCCGCCCGCACGGCCTTCTCCTTCACCTCGTAGGCGATGTCCTCCCTGTGGCCGGCGCTCAAGATCCCCGACGGTGAGGTTACCCACGGGTCGACAACCTCGCCCCCGCCCCCGCCGCCAACGGCGGCGCGCCCCTGGCCGCCACCGCCCCCGTAGGCGGTCCCGCCGTCCTGGTCGTCTTCATCCCAGGGCTCGACCCCGCCCTTTCCAGTCGAGATCGCTCCTCCCTGCGATCCGACCGCCGCCTTGCCGCGGGTTGAGTCTTGGGCGCTCGCGGCCGCGTTCGCGCTAGAGCTATCCCCTAACGCCAGAGACGCGGCCCGAGCGCCGTCGGAGGGGTACGTCGTAGCAAAGCTCGCGGGAGTGGCGGGGGCCGCGACGGGAGAACTGCTGGGCACCACCGGGGTCGGTATGGCCCTTTGCTGGGCAACCCGGCGCTGCTGGACTGCGGCTAGGTCCGGTCTGTTCAGGTCGCCGCCGCCGCCGCCGCCGCCGACACCACCGACGCCGCCGACGACGACACTGCCTGCCGCGGGTGGAGCACCATTCACCGGCTGGCACGACGACGGTACCGCTACCGCCGGCCTCCGCCCAGCCGCTGCGCGCACCTGCCCATCAGCAGGCACCACCCGTTCAGCTATCCCTCCGTTTGCTCTCGCCGGCCCGGAGCCTGCCGCCGCCGCCGCCGCCGCACCCCCAAAAATTCCCAAACCGATAGCTGCTGTCGCTGCGCTTGCCGGCGCTGCGGCCCCTGAATTGCTTTGCGCCTGATAGGTGCTGACAGGAACGCCGGTGGAGGAGGCACCACGCAACGACGACGGAAGTGGCTGCTGCTGCCGCCGCGCGTTCAGCGCTCCCCCAGAAGGTCCGCTGGCCGACGGCCGGACGGCAGCAGTCTGGCTCCTCTTTCTCTTCGAGGTGAGGAAACCGCGAGCGGCAGCGGTGCCGACGATCGCTCTGACCGCCGGAGCCTCGCCGCCCACGCCACCGCCGCTGCCACCCTGAGGTGGTTTGCCAGCGGGGACGGCGGGGACCACCGGCGCCGGTGCCGCCTGAGCTTCTCGTGCCGCGGCGACGGCAGGCGGTGTGCCCGGTATCGCCGGGGGGTTCTTTCGGGTTGTCATGGCGTGCCTGAACTCCGGGGTAGAGGGGAGATCAAGAAAAAAGGGGCGTGGATGTGGCGACAAACGCGGGGGACACGGACCAGCGAAGAGGAAACTCAGATCGCCCGTGCGCGAGGTTTGACGGAGAGCATATGTACTGAATACTTCGAAACAAGACAACACGCCCCGGGGATCGCATTTGGGCTCCATGAAAAATGTATCACCGGGTGTTGTATTCTGTGTGAGGGGGTGCTATCTTGTGCCGCCAGGGTGAAAAAGTGCAGGTCGCGGGAGCCATGAAGGGGGTGTGAGGGATTCTGAACGTTGCAGAAATTTACCTACCGTGCCTGCTGCCAAACGTGCCGGGGGGGTCTCTGTTGTCCGTTGTACCTGCATTGTGTGCTTCCACTTGTGCGATTGAGGTCATATTTTAAGTATGCATACCTCTGTCGCAAATGCAGAGTGTGCACGGTACTGAACGGGGTTGATACCGCTGACTCCTCTGACTCAAGTAAAATACTAGTAGTGAGTTCCTGCCGCAACGTGCAGTCGTGTGGAAATGGGGGGAGGAGATGATAACAGGGAAGGTAGAAAAAAGCTGATCACTCGCGGCGATGAACGACAACAGCGCCCTCGTCGACAACAGCGACCATTACCGCGCTGTACATACAGCAATAGTTAACACAGCTATTTCATCACTAGTCTACATATCATACCACTGCTCACAGGGTACAAGAAGCCAGGGGAGAAAAAAAAGTTGTATTGAAGAACGTACGGGTATGGTTTAACCCGCCTCGCTTAAAACGGTTGTGTTGCTTGCGTTCCCTGCTGGGCCATCCAATGTGTGGCCAGGGATTGCTGTTGTTAGCATGGGCTCCGTGATTACATGCCGTCTGAAACCTCAGGGGGTGCATTTGAGGTGGGTGGCATTATTTTATTTTCCCTTTTTTCTCCCTTTTTGTAGATAATAAGCCGGGCGGTAGTCCGGCTCCTCGTTCGAGATCCACAAGGGATAGTATAGCATCACGTGCATACCAACATAGTATTCCAATATTCTTTCCGGGGGGGCGTCTCATCTTGTATGTGGGTGTGATGTGATATCTTGTGTCATTTGCTACACTCCTTCAGTGCGACGAGGTTGTGTCTGCTGTGTTTTCTCCTGGAAAATGCTAGAATAAAACCACACCACGACAATGTAGCAGTCTTCAACCGGTAAATCGGGGGCTGAAAACGAAGAGCACACCGCAGCCGTGTGCGCAGGCAGTACGACAGGCACTCCTGCGGGGTTCGCCACTTGCGGCAGCCTCTCTCTGCTGCCTCTCCGGTAAGGGGAAACCACTCCTGTATAATGCACATGCATTTCCCGCCCCATGTGCATGCTGCACATGCAACACTTGCAAGACTTGTGATTGTTGTTGCCTTCACGTCACATGGAATGTACTTACAAATGCCGTACAGCAGTACACACCAAGAAAAACGGATCTTCCGTCTTGTTCAGCATTGATGTCACTAGGCGACACACCCAACGGCAGTGGGCCTCGGTCAACTACAATATACTACTGCTGCTGTGTATAGGTCCTCTCGGGTGCCGACATGTCGCCCAACTTGGAGATATCACTGCTTAGCGTGTGTCAACAAAGGCGATCTCCGCATGTGCATGCGTGTATAGAAAATACACCTCGCCTCGCAAGAGCTCTGGTCTGGAATATCTATGCGATACAAGCCAATGGCGACGTTATATTAGGAAAAATAAATACAATACACACACAGAAAGACTACAATTGTACATTTTCGCTGTATGCTCCGAAAACAGAAGTGGCTTCGTGCGCAAAAATAAAAGGAATAAAAAACTGATGCTGTGGAAGACACAGGAGACACACACAGAACTTTCCGTTTGTGCTGCTTTGATGAACCACGCCGTACGCACGACGGCCGCTGTACGCACAACATGCACTGCCCTCACCCGGATACTTGAGACGCCAACTACACACATGCACAGCGGCTGCTGTAGCACGGACAACAACGTCGCTCGTGAAGCCTTGGTGTTGAAGAGTTTCAAGTGATGGTGAGAGTAGACTAAAACCGCCCACCAAGACACATGACATGGAGAGCCATTCTCCGACTTGGGGGAACATGGCACATGCGTACCAACACCATGTACGCTCTCCTCTCACGCGAAACACGACACGTCATGCCACATGTACAAAATCAATGCACAGAGTAAACAACAAAGCCGATGCTTCCCCGGCCGCCATGTTGCATACCAATTCCACAAGACCCCAATCACCGAACGAAGCACATGGTGTAGGGCAAATCCATCGTCTTACCTTGTTTAAGACACCCGATCGTCGACTGGGATTGTCCGAATCTTTGTCAGTTTTCCTTGCCTATCCAGTATTGGCCATCCTAGCCAGCAGGGGGGGCGAGTGGCCCCTCTCTGTCTAGTTTGTTGCCTGGACACGCCAGACGCCGGCACGCCGGCCGTCACCTGATGGGACTCCGCAAGCTGGCTTCAAGAGTATTGTGGGTATACCCACAAATCCGTTTTACCTCTTCAACTCTCTGCTACAGAACCCCCACCCCCTCAACGCGCAAATTTGAATTTGTCGTCGACAACAACAAATATTTGTCGCGGACAACAACAACACACGAATTTGTCTCTGATCTTGAAAAAACGCGCCTCACCAAGCAGCCGCACGTAGCGACGAGGGCATGCCCGCGCAGCTGTAAATTAGGGGGCGAAAGGACGGGCGTCTAACAGTCGGAACCAACTGACGGCAGCCGTCCGCGTGACCAGCAGCAGACGATTTCCGTCAAGTCAAGAGGTGATCTTAGTCGAGGGAGAGGTGTACGATGCCCGCCGATGCTGGCAGCGAGATGGCTGCTGCTGCTGCTGCTGCTGCTGCTGCTGCTGTCCCCGACACCAAGCCGCTGACACCTAGATCCATCCTGCGTCGTGAAGGTTGTGCTTCCTCTGGCGCGGTAGAGGGTGCTCCACGCAAGAGGGTGACGTTTGAGGTGAGATTCTAGTGTGCGCGCGCGTGTGCGCAACAAGGTCCGATTTTGAATATTTTTGAAATTTGACTCGAGAGACAACACTGCTGCCGCATCCCCCATGTGCACCTGTGCAGGAACGTTACATAAGGCCTTTGAATGTGTAGATTGCATGCCAGAAGGAAGGCGACTTGGGTACCGTGAAGCGCTACGCGATAGCGCGCAGAGTCTTGGAATGCACCTCAATTCTCTGTTGTTGGCGGTCTCGTTGGCCGCGATATGTGCTGTAGGGCTGTACACCCCCCGTGACCCCTGCCTTTGCATTCAACAACAGCAGCACGTACCGCTCACCTCGCTATATGCGGAAACTCTCCAGCACCATCTCCCGCAAATCTACATATGTTGCCATGCAAGCACTCCTCGTGATTAGATAGGCGCTTAGGGTAGGCGTCCTGTTCTTGAGCGAGACAGCATCAGAGAGGTGTGATGCCATGATATGTAGTGCGTGCACTTGCCTCTCGGCGTAAACGCTCGCTGTTCAAAACGTGCCTCGCGGAAAAGAACGTGCCTGAAAAAGAGCGTTGCTACAGACCCACCGAGTACTCTGCCCATGTGCAAACCTCTGGAGACACGACTCGATTATAGCATTAAGCGCTCAAGGGATTCAGTGCTTTTTTATGCCGGGCTCTTGGCTGTGGATTGTCATGATGTTTTTCGTTTTCGTACATATGCATACGAACAACAATACAAAAACGTGCTGTAGACTATGTAGTCCATTTACTATTTACATGTCCGCGAAATGGCAACTTCAAATTTGTCGCAACGGAACCGCTCCTACTGCATGTACCTACCTCCCTGATATTTTCTATCCCTATTTTTTTTATCGTATTCCCGACAGAAATCCGCGTCGCTGTGTCATCTCACATTTAACAAAGTGTCCGACCCCTAAATCAGTACAACACCTGTGCTCACTCTGCACGCGAGGCCATGCGAAGCAAAACAAGAAGTGATCGTCAAGGCAAAACTCGCACGATTGATCGTTGTCCCCAGACTCGTAAAAAAGTGGTGCGTGTGCCATGTAGGTAGGCCTTCACCGTTAGGTTTGCACCAGCCGTACCGCCTGCCTACAACTTGCGGTGTGTGGGCCGCCATCAAAGCACCGGTGAATCGGTATGTTCCAGTCACCAACCAATGAACAAGAAACGTTATTCCCCCTACACGCTCTATAGGTACGCCGGAGTATTCCGTGCCAGGTTCTCGCCAGGTACTCTCTCTCTCTCTCTCTCTCTCTCTCTCTCTCTCTCTCTCTCTCTCTCTCTCTCTCTTTCTCCCGTTTGTGAACCAGGGGACTGTTTTTAAAGGGGTGAAAAATCGTTTGTACGAAGCTGCAAGCTTCGGCCCCACCCGCAGGCAGCTTTCTACCTTCGAAGCGCTATTCAACCTCTACCATTGCCGTACACTGAGCCCCCGCCCGCCCTTTCTTTCCCACGTGGCCATCAAAAAGCAGGGAAGTGTGGCAGACGACAAGCCCAGTAGCGGGGGCAAGAAACTACGGAGGCGTGCCGGCGGCGGGGCCGCCGCACGTGCAGCCTCCCGCAGAATCGGTGGCAACGCTAGGCTAGGAAGCCTGCTTCTTCCTTCGTACGCCGCTTCTCCGGCGAGCTTGAGCGGCAGCGGCTACTCCCCACCGTCGACGGTCGCGTCCCGCGCGACAGCATCATACGACGTCAGGGCCCCGGGACGCGTGCGGCAAGCGGGGTGCTCCCCTTGGCCGAACGCGCCGCACTCCTCCTCCTCGACTGTGGAGTCGCCCGGAGGTGGAAGGAGGGTTCTGTCTTCTGCCGTGGCTGCGGGCCCCGCCAAGTCGAGGGGCAGGAGGATGTTCCAGGTCCAGGAGGAGATGAATCGCGCCGACGAGAAGAGGACTACCGCCGCCGCCGCCGCCGCCGCCGCCGCCGCCGCCGCCGCCGCCGCTGTCGCCGCATCCGCCTCCCCGTCGGGATCCCTAGCGTCGTCGGCCGTAGCGGCCGCAGCTAAATGCTCGCCCGAGCAGCAGCGTAGGCTGGAGCGACAGCAGCAGCGGCGGCGGCAACAAGAAGGTGTGCAACCTAGGTCTTCCACAGGGGGCGGGTCCCCGGTGGCGGCGGCGGCGGCGGCGGCGGCGGTGGTGGAAGCGAGTGCACCGCCACCGGACAGCAGGCTTGCCCCTCCCGTCTCATCGAGCGCGGCAGCGGTTGTTTCCGCATCGACATCAAGCCAGACGCATCTCGCCCCTCCTTCTTCCCAGCAGCGGCAGCGGCAGCAGCAGCAGCAGCAGCAACTGCGCGGGGGGCGTGGAGAAGATGAGCCGCCTTCCCGTCCGGCGGCAATGACAACGGCGGCCGCTACAGTCGTCGTCGAGATCGACGAACAGCTGCCGTGCCCGCGGCCTGGTCCGACCGCAGAGCGGCCGTCGTCGCGGCCCACGGAACGGGACGCGACCGGTTCTACCGACATCACGGGGTCCTCTCGCGCGTCACCCCACGCCGACGACTGCGCAGACGGCGGCGGCGACTGGGTCGGGACCGGCCGTGAAGCCGACGGGCGCCCGGAGCTCTGTTACCGCGAGTACGCCGCGGGGGTCTCCATAACAAGCCCCCCGGCGAGGACGGCGCCGGCGAAAGAGGACGAGGAGGCTGCTGGTTTTGTTGGCCCCGCTTCTGCGCTTGAGGTGTCGTCGAACGAGGCCTATCCCTCGGCGCCGAGCGAGGCCACCCCCCCTGCCGGGAGTAGCAGCAGCAAGGGAGACGAGCCACCTGCGGCCGTGGCGATCCAGAGAGCGTCCGATTCGACGACGACGGCGGCGGCGGCGGCGGCGTCGCCGGCGCGCGTGGAGGCCGGCGGCACGGCGGACAATACTTGCAAGAACGCGGAGGACCGATCCGACGATCTCGCCGCTGGGTCTCCACTAACGGCGGCGGCGGAGGTGCCGAGCGGCATTGACTCGATCGAGCCGTCCGGCTCGCAGGAGCATTCCCGGCGCGTGGCCCCCGAGTCGAAGCCGACGTGGACGAGCCCGAAGTGCCTTGCCGAGATAGGGGACGTAGCTCTCGGAACCACTCCGTGCAGGTGGGTGGGTCGGGGTGTACTCATAGTCGTGCATGCCGTAGTCGTTAGACCATTGACCTCGCTACCCAAGGCGGGTGGAGACGGGGTAGAGTCACATGCCGTATGCCGTTTTTTCTTCAACCATCTTGTACGTGGTGTGCAACCGTACCTTCAACGGAGATGACGCAGTTTTGACCAACCTTCTCTTTGTAGACGTATTTTGGAGGGAGTTGACGTGTCGGAATGACGCTAGGGGGTGGTAGTGAGTCCCTACGTTTGAGCATGGGAGCTGGGCGCATCCGTGAGCGGTGTTTGTTTCGCGCGAAAGTGACCAAGCATGTTGTTGGTATGGTGGCCGACCGCCGGAAAAAGAAAAAATGTGGTTTCCATTACTCTCGGCGAAACCGCCCATCATCTCTAGCCGTAGGGTCAAATGCTAACTTGTTGAAGGATACGCGGGGATGTACCACCCCGAGTGTCCACGACAGCGGAGCTCCCTACCTTTTACCTCACGCGTACACGCCCCCAGACTCTCGATTGTCCCCTGCTTTTGCTGTTCGGCATCGTGACGTCTATGGGCAATAAACCCTGCCCCGCACGTGCAACACGAGAGAACATGAACGGGACAAGGAACGCACGGTTCTCCCATCCTCCTTTCGTTCCTGCAATCACGCTTTCTGACGTTTCGACGTTTAAACAACGAAGACAGGCATTAAATGAGCCCCTCGCGCCGCCGACCCCCCTTACGATCTCCCCCGCTTCCGCCCTCCCCGTGTGCCGTGTGATCATGTCGTTGTCGGACAGATCGCAGCACGTGCCGCCCGTCGTCACTCCGCCTCCGGACGACCAGCTCGGGAGGGCCTCTGCCTCTCAAGATGCCGCTTCCGGCGGCAGCGACAGAGATGACGCCATCAGTGATAATAATCGGGCTAACGCCGGCCGCTCCAGTGGCGGTGTTGATGCCGCTGATGGCGGCCGCATGGGGGACGGCGGTAGCAACAAGCGTGGCGGCGGCGCCAACACGGTCAGCAGCCGCGGCCGCCACAAGAGGGCTAGAATAGACAAGCAGCAAGGCAACCATGCTGGTAGCGGCGAATGTGGCGAGAGCACGGGCGGTGTCGCGGCGCCCTCCGGGGCGGTGTGCTCATCGCCGCCAGCCAATCGCCAACGCCACCCTGTCTTGGTCGACGCCTCCCCACTCTCCACCGCACCGACGGCGTCGCCGTCGCCTTGCGGTGGCATGACCGCGGAGCCTTGCTTGGGACACGATCAAGACGGCGGCGGCGGCCGGCCCTACCGCGATGGCTCGTCACTCTCGCCCTATACACCACCGCTGCCGCCCCCGCTGCCGCCGCAGCGGCAGGAGCAAGAACCGGAGATCGAATTCCCGGCATCCCGGCTCCTGCCCGCGGCAGCCGCTGCTGCTGCCGTTCCGACGGTGCTCCCCACGGACAAGGCAGACGCCGCTCCTCCGGGTGCTGAGCCGACGGAGATCGTCGCTGAAGAAGAGGAAGCAAAGGGCGAGCCCATCAGTGCGTCGAGCGGCGAAGTCGAGGAAAACTGTCGCGCGGCTGCCTTACCTTCACCTGTGCGAGCTGCAGAAGCGGTAGCAGTTGCTCAACGGTCGACCAACGGAAAACACGGCGAGGCGAGAACGGTGGCTAGCGGGCGCGGCCGGTTACCCGCCCGGTTTGTTGGTAGCTCCGGTGCGTCGGCGGCGGCGATAGCAGGGGGCTGTGGCGACGACACCAAGGGGCGGCACAAGAGGCTGAAACGGCCGTCTCGAAAAATGCTGGAGGTTCGCGAGGGCAACAGGGAGGAGGAGGAAGGCGTTGTTAAACAACGCCCCCCCGCGTCAGCTTCTTGTGCTGCTGCCGCTGTTGGGGTTACTCCTGGGACGGCTACTGCTGCTGCTGTCGCAAACGCTGTTAGCGTTCCTTCCCGTGCGGCGGGGACTCGAGAGTCTAGCAGGGGCGGCGAAAACCCCACCGCCGCCGCCGCAGCAGCAGCAGCAGCAGCAGCAGCAGCAGCCGAGGTTGCTAGCGCCGTGGAAGTCGGGCCCAAGAAGAAGAGGAAGAAGCGCAGCAAGAACGCGCTAGGGCTGCCGACAACGCCGCCGTCGATAACGGCCGGCGACACGGTCCACTCGAGTCCCCCAGCGGATAAGACCGGACGGCTGCCGGCTAAGGTCGGCGCCCGCCGCCGGAAGAAAGACGGGGGCGGTGGTGGTGCAAGCAGGAGCGGAGGCAAATCGCAAGGTTCCACCACCGCCGCCAAACTTCGCATGCGCGAGCCTCACGCTCATTTCCTCCGCAAGGGTGCCGTTGTTCCTCGTCCCGCGCAGGAGCCTTCGGCGGCACCTCTGGCGAAACCCGGGAGGCGGATGGTACCGTCGCCGGCCAGGACGAGGTCGTCGTCGGTGGCAGCACCACCCGTGGCAACCGGTAAAGTCGCAACAGTTCGTGCGGAGACAGCGGAGGTGCGCTCCGACCGAGAAGAATCATCCGGCAGGGCCGGCATGGCGAACGTGGACGTTCCAACACCCGCCTTTGTGGCTGTCAGCAGCTGGACCGGCTGGATGGCGCCGCGGTCCCCGCGTCAGCCGCCCTTCTTGCCGTCACAGCAGCCGGCTGTTTCTTTAGGCAGAGGGGAATCCAGGGACGCCGAGCATGAGGCAGCGGTGGCGGCGCCTGCTGCTGGCGGGGTGTGCGGTTGGATGGGGCTGTTGTCGAGTGGGTGGAAGGGTCTTCTGTCGAAGGCGGCAGGGAGATCAGGAAGTTAAGACAGGCGGGGAGAGGCGATAGGATGAGCATATATACACTAATCACAATCCGGGTATCTACCATGCGCGTCTCTCATCCAGTGTCATTCAGGTCGGTCACTGATGTCTACCGAAATCCCTCGCATCGACGAATTTCGGGGATTCGCCGATAGCAGGATGGCACTATGTAGATACATTCCGGTGAGGGGGGGCGCGAAGCGTGTGGCGAGAATGGCTGGGTAGGGGTGTTTGTGGACGCTAGCTTTGTGATAGAAGGAAGATGTTCTGCTTCTTTGTCGGCGTCGGTCGAGCACGCATCCTCGGAACGCGGAGCACTATTCCAAGGACGGTTTGCCCCCCGCAGTGTCGAGAAGTAGATGCGTCAATTGCATGGTGGCCGTCTTGTGAAGTGGTCGGAATGAAATGGCGGGACACAGCCGTGAACCCTTCTGTTGTGCCTTTGGCAGCCGACGGTGATAGTGTGCCTGTTTTGCCTTGCAGGAAGATACACTGTTACAGTACAGGTCGAAGTTTGTTTGGTGGGTGTAGTGTTTAGTTTGTGACTGACACCGTTTAAATGGTTTAGTACTGGCTGACTATAAGTTCACTTGCGGGGACAGGCTGTTTACCCATCATGCACGGCAAGGCGTAAGCCCTGCTGCCTGGGCGTGGTGGTATCTGCGTTGACCTCGCAACGCAATTTCCCACTCGCTGAATCAAGCATGCTGCCGCATAGGAGGTCCGACTATAGTCTCGGGGGAGTGAAATTGGCGGAGTGCAAGTTTGTGTCTCATGCGACGAGCTAGGATATATCTGGGAATAGTAACAAGTATCGTGGAGTGAGTGAGGTGGTTGGTTTCACTTTGGGGGACCGGGGGGGTGTCAGAAAAGCAATCAGCTATTGGCAGGCATACCTAGAACCTAAGTTTCAACATACGTGTCGAGAAGGAGGGACTTGGAAACGCGGTAGCAATGTGAAGAATGGGCTTCCACCCTCTTACATCAGGCCGGCGTGGACTGCACGTGAACTACCGCTTTTCTCTCGGCCCTGTGATGATGGCGGTGGTAGCATTGCTTGCCGGAGGCGTATGTAAGGGAAGAGTTCAAGCCAGCGTCGCGGGTTTCATTCCAATACATGCGAGGATGGAGGGGGCGTACATTCACCGTGTTCGATGGCTTGCATTTTGTATGGCCGATGTACTATTTTTCGTAAGAACCGGTCAGAGGACCACGATGAGCATCCGGAGGGAAGAGAATTTCACCTCGGGGGGTGGTTGAAACAGCGGGTATTTCATTCTACACGTGTTGCATGTTGCATTTTTTTTTGTTTTTGCGTGTGCTGTGGTCAATGAAGTCGGTGGCGTTTAACGTTGCGTGCTTCAATTTTTTATTCGATTTCTATATGTACTATGGCAGCAAACGGCGGCAGCATCGCGGACGGTACATGCACGTTTGAATGGTGTATGATAGGCCGCACGCTGCTAGAGTCAGTCCCTGGTTGTTCATCCGCTACGTGAGATTACGCCGCCAAGGTGGTGTCGTGGGCTTGATCCATGCGTGTGTGGTTTCGTGTTGGGATTGCTGTCCATTCCATCGGTCATCCTCGCGGTAGTCGCCGACAAGCATGTGTGTGTATGCTTTCACCCCAACTATTGCCGCGGAAGTCTCGACACATTATTTTCGGCGAAGTATGTGTTTGACGCGACAGCCACGGTCACATGCGGAAGGTCATACAAGAAAGCTGGTATCTTTGTTGATGTCCCAGGCTATTCTCCTGCTGCAGTGATTGTCTTGAAATGTATCTTACGAGAAGGTTTCAGTTGTCCCTTTCCCTCGAGTGTGTGGAAGTACGCGTGTCGCTCATGAATTCACCGTTTCCCACAGCAAAGCTAGTTTTTTCACTCCAGAGATACGCTCCAGCGACGCTCCAGAGACAACACAACTAACTCACAACCGAATACAACATCCAACCGATAACTCTCTTTTCTGGAGCCGTGACAAATAGTCAAATCCAGAAAGAGGAGCAAGCGCGCAAACCGATGCACTGCTCAGTCGAACGCCCAGCAAAACCGCGGCCTGAACGGCCCGACTTCCCAGCACCCACGCACCCCTATACATGCATTCACGTAGGTGAGGGACCGGTGGAACATAATCTCCTACACGTGTGCTCTGTGGTGATCACTACCCAGCCCGCCACGTAAAAAAGGAGGAAAGAACCATTCGCTGTGTTCTATCGATCATGGGTTCGCGGCAGACAGGTCGAAGGAGTGGAAGACCAGCTTGTTCTCCCGAAGGCAGACGTTGGTGGGGGTATCCACCACCTGACGTGGACAACACGGCCGACGCGACAAAACAGCGAAAAACGAAAAAAAAAGTTAACGGAAGGCGGGAGTTACCACCAACGTTGTGACGACAAGAAAAATGAAGGTATCACATTGGCTCAAGAGAAGCTTTAAGGTTTCGATCGAAAAGGACACACCTTACGGGGAAAGCGAGGTCGAGCGGCCATGGGGCGAGCACGACGAGGCAAGGAGAAACAAAAGCGCAGGAAGCCGAGAGGGTGGCGCACCGGCGTGCGCCTTCACATCCGTACCCATCGTGCAGCCCATTCTACCCGGGCGCACGCGAAATGTGTGATTCCGCCCCCGCTCATCGCCTACACCACCCAGTTCAGCCACGGCGCCCCCGCTCATCCGGTCTGTGAAGGTTACTCGACACCTCGCACACTCCACATGCGCTGGCAGCACCCCAGCACCGTACAGACTCGGCCAAGACGATTCTCCGCCCCCACTGCATCGTTGCAGGTTGTCGCCACTGCATACCCTCAACATCGCCCCCCCCCACCCCCCCAAATTCTAGGTTGCCGATGCGGGGCAAACGTCGGAAACGTTGTCAAGCAGCTGCTAATACCGGACAATGGTCGGAAATATAAATAATGCCGCCAAGACACGTCCTAAGTTCTGGTTGTGTGCTAAGTACAATACAAGTCTTCGAACTGGTGTCTTCGGGCATCCTCGTTCCTCTTTTCCCTCACCAGACCGGCCAGGCTCTCCGGGCTGTCCAGCGTGGTGAAGGTTTCGCCGACGCCCACCAACTCTGCATCGAACCTCGTAGCGAAGATCTACAAGAAAAAAAAAAAAAATGAACGACGTGAAACGAATATCATACAGAAGTAGTACATTTGTCATCAAAGATTAAGTGGTTGTTCAAGCTTCATCCAGCACGCCAACCGCTTGACTTCCGTTACACCGCCTCTCCAAACAACTGCGTCGGAGAAGAACGTAAAAAACAAGGGCAAGACAATCTCACACGAAATCAAGGCCGATCGAACCCCATCACTCCTCGAACGGCAAAAAAAAACATCCGCATCTCCCCCCCTTGAAGTCATATCAACGATGCTACCTTTGCGGACTTGTTGCCGGACAGGCCAGCCAAAGCCCTACCCCTCAGCGTACCGTAGACGTGTATATCTCCGTCCGCCATAACCTGAACGGACCCAACGAGAGAAAAACACCACCAAGAGTATCATATCACCGCGAAATAGACACGCCAGCAACAAAGCACACTCTCGTCGCGTGAATGTGTCGAAGTTAGAAACGGACCGACAGAGTGGATGTTTCAGCGACCGATCAAGAGAATGCAAGCCGTATCACAGCGCAACGCACAGTTCGCTTCCGCACAAAAATGGTGCGTTCATGCCGTAGGTGAACAAAAAAAAAATCTCTTCATGGTCACAAGGCTCTTCATGTGTGTCTTGTGTTTGTGCTATTGACGACAACAGCGAATGCGGGGCGCGTGCTTGCATCCTGGATACCAGTCAGGGGGAAATTCGTGCCAACTAGTAACCCTATGCATTCTACCGCGTCATTTGGACCCCTTGCCGAAGGTCGTAGTCTTCACGCTGCAGTCAACATGCCAACTTTTGCAGGATGCCTACCTCCCGCCCCCCACTGCGCCGGAAGACTTCGCAAACGTCTGGTTGGATACACCCTACCGCATAACACCGAACCCACCTCGCCGCCTGAGCTAACGGCACCCAGGACAACGAGCGAGGTTCCCTCCGCAAAAACCTAGAGGAAGATTAACAACATTGATGGTGCACGGCAGGTATGCGTCTGGTTGAGGTGGGGAAGGGAATCTTGACCAGGACAACAATGTGCAGCGAGCAAGCACGGTGTGAGGATGTTTAAGGCGGGTGTTGGGGGAACAGAAACGAGGTGAGGGCCGAAGTCAGAGAAGGTGGCAGGTACCAGCAAAGGAACCCTGTGAAAAGGGTGGAAGCTGAAATATGGTGAATGCGTCACTTGTCCCGCAGAATTCCGCACGTTGCTCTATCGTAGTGCCGTGATGAATGGGCGAGAGACGAACACCACCACCACCACCACCACCAAAAAACAGCCACAACAACAACAACAACAACAACAACAACAACAACAACAACAGCAGCAGCAACGACAACAACAACAACGTCCACAGCGGCTGCGCCTAATCTCACCTGCTGTCCGCTCCGAACAGACCCTTGATACACCATCGTTTCTCGGCCGCTCTCCTCCTCGCTCAAACTGCTCCCAGAACGCTCGCTATGGCTATTTCGGTCCTCTTCCTGTTCTCCTGTAGTTGCTGGTGCTGGTTCCACCACGCTGCAAGAACCCCCACCTCTTCTTCGCCCCTCCTCCCCTTCCCCCAACGCAGAAGTCCTTGTTGGTGCCGGTGCCGACGTACCAGAAGGCGCCGCGGACGGAGGCGTTTTTACCACCGATTCCGCCGCATCGGAGGCCCGAACCGGCACCGGTTGTTCCGCCCCGTGATTCCTCGTCGATCGTGAGGCGGCCACCTGAGGCGGCGACGATCGTGGCCTGGCGTGTACCATCATTACCTGCCAACCGGCGGCCCGCGGACAGAGCACAACAGGGCACGTGGATTCAAATGCGTGAAGCACAACCCTCCTCCTCGCCCGCGTTTTTTGGGCGCCTAATCCAGTTTGGTCAAGGAACCTATTGTAGAGGACTAAGTATGGTTAAAGGCTTTAGTGTGACAGTGGCAAAACCCATACAACTACAATAAGAGTTGTATAGGATTATGTACGACAATACAATATCTACTTTACAGAATATATTCTCGCGCTGTATGTATATACACCAGAGAGGGGTGGTGCAGAGTGGAAGCTCGCTTCAGTAGCTCGGTACAGCGACCTAGGCCTACCCACTGCCCACCAACCAGGCTTGGGGTGGTGGTGTGGGAAAGGGTTGGTAAAGACTATACTACATCATACTAAATACTCGCATGCAATAGTACCAGTCTACAAACCCATATAGTAGGAGGCGATGAATAGGCTTTATGTATAGCAATGTTATCTCCTATATAAATACAAGGTCTCGGGACGTGGGTGGCAAGCCTCCCGTGGGTGACGCAAGATCGCATGCGCATTGCCCAAAGAGGGGGCGTGTGTCCTATTATTGATGGGAATTTTCGTCGCTCGTATTCCGTGCAAAACATCGCGCACGTGTAGTACACGTAGATATTCTACATTGGCACCAGCTCCAGCGGACGGCAATTTGCCAGCAAAAATTCAGGCTTCTTCTACCAAGTCTTGTGATTGATGACGGCAGGTTTATTTCCGATGAGAATGGGACTTGAATTCGAAGCAACACCATAAACAAAACATGTTCAACACTGCGGGTGAATGCGCAGACTTGTTTGTCTACAGCAGCAAGCAGCGCTTCACTTGGCCCGCTGCGAAGTGTAATAGAGCAAACGTTGGTACTGTTGGACATTGCGATGACACGAAGAGTCACGGCGATGTGGAAGCAGCAAATGAATGAATGAATGTGGAGATGTACAAGCCAAGACGCAAATATTTCAAACTGTCGATATTGGTGGGTTTCAGATTTGGTTCGCCCGGCTTTGTCTGCGCGTAACGCGCCCCCGGGGTATTGAGCCAGTTTTCGCAACTTTGACCGTCAACCACACGCGCCACGGAGGCCTACCGAGCTCCGGGCACGGGCGTTAACGTACCGACGAGCCTCGTGCGTGCCCCTGAGAAGGAATCGCGAGAAAAGAGTCTTCGCCGCGAGAGAAAGAAATGCCGAAGCATGAAAGGTGACCAAATCTTACATGTACATATACTAGTATAGGATATACTATACCAGAACTAAACCCTACTAGTTAAAGGATATACTATACCAGAACTAAACCCTACCATATACTAGTATAGGATATACTATACCAGAACTAAACCCTACTAGTATAGGATATACTATACCAGAACTAAACCCTACACAGTATATCTACAATATATTTACGGTATACAACAGACGCCCCCTGATCTGGTCCTTAATCCAATTTGAGGTGTGCTTCAGTGGGTGACATTATACAGACACATGTAGCCACCTGCGGGAAATCCACACAGATTGGCAAGAAAGTCGAGGACATCGTATCGGTGCTTCGAGCTCCAGTCCAACGGCAAGAGGGTTCTCCGCCTCAAGCGCGCACCCGGGGAAATTCAAGCTAACGCATACGGCCATGCTTCTGTCGTCCAACGAAGAGAACAAGTAGCCCGGAAACAAACTGCTGGCGACATAAAAACACAAAGCGGAATGACATCATAAAAGACCATTCTCGGAAAAACAACACGGTAGACAAGGAAGATACGTCGCCGAAAATTGCACGAAGACCCATTCACTGTGCGTACCTCCGGCAACCCCTGCTCCGAGGCCGTCTTCAACACGTCGTGGCTAGCATTGCAAACCCCAACCGGCACGAGTCCCGCCGCCCTCACAGCCCGCGAGCAGCCGGCAAGGCTGGCGCGTCCAGCTGGTCGGCCGTGCGGTGACCCGTCCTGCCGCATCGTGTTTCGGGGGAAATGGGGCATGTACTCATGAAAGCGAATGCCGTGGGGTCGGTGGACAATAGACCTCGTATCCCTACAATGCCGGGACGGAGCGCGGTATTTATGCCGGTTTTTCGCCGCGGTCCAGGCTACGGCTCACAAGGATGAACCAGACGCTGGTTCCGTGCGGAGCCATGTCTCCAACGATCAAGTAATAATCTCGTCACGATGTGCCCGCTCGCCGACTTCGGTGCTGTTGCATTTCTTGGCGTCGACGAACGCTGGCCTTCGCGCGGTACTATAATAAGATTGAGAGGAACATCAACGTTCTCTTCCATATATATATCACCTGAGACACGGCGCCCAGATCAAGCACCACCGGGGACCCCGCCCCCGGGAACAGCCCGGTCGTTCCTAGCACCCCGGGCCCCTGCAACGCCTCCCTCATCCACTCGAAAACCCTCTCCTCCTCCTCCCTCTCCCCTCCCGCTGCTGCGCCGTTGACGCGGTGAGAGTTCGCTGTGCTGCTGCCGGTTGGTGTTGTCGCTGTTGGAAAGGGGGGGACTTTGATCGTGGACAGCAGATATGTGCGCCCGAAGAGGCTGACCGGTGTGGTCGGTGTTGAAGGCGATGGAGCTGGAAAACGGGTGTTCGGAGAAGGGAGCGGGAGGTGGCGCGCGTATGGTGGCGGCGGTGGAGAGTAGTAAAGACTTTTTTTTCTTTAACCCTTTCGTGACTGGGTTCTTTCTGGATCTTCCGCGTTTTTTTTTGTTCTGCCGGGACCGAATAGACCGATGAGTCATGAGACACACACACACGACACCCGCACTTGAACGGTTGCACGTTTGTTTGCGCACCAACAGGTTCCCACATGGGTCAACCGCACGCACCCCATGGTGCCACAAAGGTTTAGTGCCCAACAGCAGCGTAACCCTCACGTGAAGAATGTGATGAGTGACCGATAACTACACTGACTGCTGTACTGCTGTATGTAGGTGCTGTCGGAAACCGGAGGAGAGAGAGAGGAGAGGGCGCCGTATTTCTTTACCCCAAACACGATTACATGGTGATAGTCTACATGGATACAGCAGCAGCAGTAGAGATACATCGCATGCACAGCAGTTCTACCCCGCCGCCGATGCAGCACACTGGCGCAAGGCATGGCACCGCCTCCAATGCCACTTGGTTGGGTGGTAAATCCAGCGGAGACAAGAAGCACACACGCACGCGGTTTGTTTGTTGGATGCATGCATGCGAAACGAAATGAAAAAGCACCAGCAGCAGCAGCAGCAGCCCGCCGCAGCAGCAGCAGCAAGCACGAGCCGCGCGAGAGATAAACTATGCCTTGTGGTGGCGGTTGGTTGAAGACGGACAAGGAATACACTCGAACACACACTCGCGCAGGAGAACTCGGGGAGAGGCCTCGTAAGCTTGGCCTTCAGTTCTGCAACCACATTCCGAAGGCAAGGAAGAAGGCACACAAGTCAACAGCGAGAGCATGCTTTATCGTGCCAGATAAAGACAGGTTTTATCATGCCTCCTATCGTGCCTGTAGTCACGAAAACCCTCTCAAAAACGCGAAGGCACGGGGGCGGGTGTCTCTTTTTGACACTTTGTCACTCCGCCACAGCCTGCCAGCACAACAGCAGCAACAACAGCAGTACAGCAGTACCAACATCACCACCATGGACCCAGAGGACATCGCTCAGTTCTGGGAGGCCAAAGCGGCTGAGTGGGACCCAGTGAATGCTCCCCTAGTTGTGTGGGACGAGCTGGTTCTCATCGCGGACACAACACCCCAGCTCCTGCCCGAGGCGACATCTGCTGCAGCCAGGGCGGTTGGGAAGCGGTTCTGCTGCCACGGGGACAACGAGCCCCAGCCCCTCCCAGACATAAGGGACCTGGCAGCAAGGAGGACCGCAGCTCAGCAGCACCCCGGACTCTGCGGGTACCACCACTCCCGCTGGATCGGGGATGTAGATTTCGCAAAGGCAGCCGAGAGGAGCTCGGGGGGGCAGGTCACAGCGAAGCGTCTGAGGAATCAAGTAAGTATAGTACAATTGATATTTGGCAACCCCACAAATGATGGGCTGCTGACCCAGATCGGTTGTGCACCTGCTGTGCGCGTTGCACCTCGTGTATTATAGGTGTGCTTCACGTTCAGCTTTGTTTGACATGGTGGCTTGTAAGAGTGCTACAACAGTACACTAGGCCCACAAACTTCAACCTGGACTAACGTGCGTGTGTTTTTCGAGCCTGCGGATCAATGCAGCTGCCAGACAGATCATATCACCACACGAAGTAGACAGGAAAGAGGGATGAGAGACCTGAAAGACGCGTTTACAGCAACCCTATCCCTATGAACCTCCGCAATGCTCAGCAAATGCTCTGGAAAGACAAGCGGCGCCCAGCGCGTCGACTCCCCTT